TTTTTTTTTTTTTTTTTTAATTTGGTGGGGTTTGGGTTTGTTTGTTTTTTTTAATGGGATTTTTTGTTTGTTTCCTTTTTTTTTTAAGAAATAAAAAGAAACTGCTTGACTGGTTTCAAGCACCCTTGTGAACCCCTGTCTGGCTGGCTTATGTCTGGGGTACTGTCTCCAGGTGTGCTGCTCTCCTGCCCAGAGCTGGTTTGGGCTCTGGCACGTGCCACTTGTCGTTGTAAAAGTGCTACCAGCGAGGAGCTGTGAGCGCATCTCCATTGAGCTGCTCTCCCTTGTGTTGCAGAGGAGCCAGCTCCAGGTGAAGTGTTTCTCTGTCCTTGGGTGTTTTTGTCTGCTGGGAGAGAAGCTGGGCAGTGCTGTGTTTGCCTGCCTTTGTGGGGGCTTGGAGCAAGGGCTTCTGGCTACGACATCCCTTGCAATGGGCCTGGGGCAGGTCATGATGCTTGGACTTTTGACTTTTGGTGTTCCCTGACCACATATAACCCAGCTCCTCCATTGCTGCTGTGCCCCAGGTCACTGCTTGGGTATCACACAGTGGACACACGGCAGGAGCAGGGTTCAGGTGTGGGTATGTGTGCAGTGTCTGTGCCCTGCCCTGGCACTGTGTGGGGGGAATGCTTTCCCTGTGCAGCTGTGATTGGCGTAGGCTGCTGAGTATCCACACTCCCATGTGGGGTGTTAGCCTGGCCACCCGTATCACTGATTCTGGGGGTGCCCTGGTGCTCATGAGAAGGAGAAACGTCATTGCTAGGTTAAACAGTGCTCAGCAAAGCTTTGGTTTTAATTCCCATCCTTATGACCCAGCAGACAGAGGAGTGTTGCAGAGCCAGCCCTCCCTGCCCTGCATCAGTAGGATGTGCCATCCATCTGGGCAGCCCTGACCGTGCTCCCCGCTATGCACAAGAAGGTCTGGCAGGGTCACGGGGATCCCAACAGCTCTTTGGGTCTCACCTTTGTGCCCAAGCCCAGACGGGTGTCCCAGCAAATGGAGCAGTGCAAGTGTAGAAACGGTGTTACTTTGAGCTCAAGCCAGCAGGTAGAGCCTGGTGATTTTGGAAAGTGCCCGTCTTGGGGATAAGGGGGGTGTTTGGAGGATCAGGCTGGCTGGGGTGCGGGGCTGCAGTAGTTGGAAAGGCTCAGGCAGGGTAGGGATTGGGCTCCAGACCCCAAGTGCCCTCTAGTGAGGGCTGTGATACTGTACACACAGAGGGTAGGGGAGAAGGGGTGGAAAAAAAGACTTGCAAGAGCATCTTCCACTGGCCCAGCTCACCACCTGCCCGCCTGAGACATGCCAGCCTTGTCCACACTCACCTCTGGCTTTCAGGTGGCCATAACCCACCTGTTTCCCCCACTGAGCTGCAAGGGCCACCTCCAGGGCTGTGCAGGCAGCAGGTGACAGCCCGCCTGGAGCATCGGGATCTGTTTTTCCTCATCCCTGACAGCCTGGTGGTGGCCCATCTGCCTGCAGCATGTGCCCCATGCCAGGACTGAGCCCCTGCTAGCCCACAGTCCATGCAGGGCTGGTACACCAGCAGCTCGGCTTGTAGCACCCACCTTGATGCTGCCACTTGCCACCCAGCAGCGGGTGAGTTCCCCGGGGAGAAATTCATGGTCTGGCACGTCACCTGGAATGTTGACCCAGCGTGGGCAGCTCCTTGCCACCAGCACAGTGCCACGCCACGTCCCCATGGGCACGCTGCTTCTGGCAGTGATCTCCAGCACCATGTGTGGCCGCGCCGGGAGCGGGGCTGGCAGAGCGCTGATGGGAGTTGGGCTTCGGCCACGGGAGGCTCTGTTTGGGCTGGTACATGCGTCACAGCACCCGGGCTGCCGGGGGGGAAGAGGGGAGGGATGGGGAGCAACTGGGGGGGCTGCGGGCGCAGGTGAGGGGAGCAGGCAGTGGTCCTCGCTGGGGCTGGAGTGGGTCATCACAATGATGCTGTGCCATGCAGTCGCCCTGTGCCCTGAGACCAGCAGCATTAGTCTCTTGGCAGCGCCCGGGGATCAGCTCTCCGGATAAAGTGGGGCAGCAGAGTTTATAAAAAGGCATTTTTGGCATAAATAGCCATTGTCGGGCTCCTTCGCCACCTGCGGCTCACGAGGGTTTTCGTGCAAACGCTTAACTATGGCCGTGTTCCTGCCAGGGCAGGGTTATGAATGAATTCTTCCACTCCGCTTTAAGCCACATCTGAGGCTGCTTGGCTGGTGTCTGGCTTCAGCCGGCCACATTTTGGGATATAAACAGTTTACAGAGCAGCTTTCTGTTGGCCTCTGCTTGTGAAATATAGAGACAAGCATTGCCACAAAACAACACACACCAAAAAAAGAAAAAAAAAAAAAGAAAAAAAAAGAAAAAAAAAGAGGAAAAGGGGGGAAAAGCCCTGCTAGCACAAGCTACTGGAGGTAAAATCTCATTGAGGTACAGCCAAAAAAAAAAAGAGGAAAAAAAAAAAGAAAGAGGAAAAAAAAAGAGGAAAAAAAGAGAAAAAAAAGAGAAATGCTGGCCATACCTGCAGCACCCCCTGCCTGGGCCAGCCGGTGCGGTCCCCAGGCTGTCACAGCCCCACTGCAGGCACAGGAGCAGGACCAGGCTGGCAGCTGCCCTGCTTGAAATGGTGCAGCTTGGATGAGGAATTTGAGACACCTGGAGAGGGCATCTGCCACAGGACAACCCCCACCCCACTGCAGCAGGGTGGCCAAACTTTCAAGGGCTTGGAAGGTTAAATGAGCCAGGAATCCCCCCTTTGCAGCCCATCCAGGGCCTGAGCAGCCACTGTGCAGGGATCCAGGAGCAAAGCAAAGCTCATCAAAGGTATTTAAGATGCCTTTTTTTTTTGAAGCTGAGGTGCTTGAGCTGAACAGAGATGCCCTGCCTCTGTGCACTCCTACTGCCACACTTTGGAAATAAAGGCTTCGCTCACTCTCCAGGTCAATGGCTTTAAAAAGTCTGGGAACACTTCTTACAAGCCAAAGTTTTATTTGTTTCATAAACAAGTAAAATTATATTAATGTAAAACAGGTAAATGGACAAAAGTAAAACACACAGCACTGAACACAACGCTATAGAGCACTGACATGTAGAAGTGCAGTTCCCTCCCTCGTGCGATGCCCTCCCCCCCCGGCCCCCCAAATGGTTTGCTTGAAAAGCCTAATACAGAGGTCCAAAATCTGATTCAGCTTAAACATGATGTACAGGTCACAGTATTGAATCATAAAGGTAACAATAAGAGAGGAACTGTCTCGGAAAGGGGGAAGGTAAAAGAGTTCCCCCATCTCTTCTTTTTCTTTCTTTCTTTCTTCATTTTTTAAATTTTTAAACAAATAGGTTAGGAGGAGAGGCGGGGGGGAATTCCATGGAAATAAACACTGTTTCACTCCAGTATATAGATATATATCTAAAAAAAGCAGGATTCTCAGTGAACACAAAATTCTATAAAACTACCATTGATCTGTGTTGTTTTTCTCCCCTCCCTTTTTTTTTTTTTCTTTTTAAAAGTTGCTTTAAAAAGGATAAAAAGTGCACAGACACCCTTATAAGGCACAAACAGATCTCCTGTACAAATCATATATCATCGGACTGTTTAAAAAAAATAGCAATACGAGTACTAACAATTAAATCTGTAAGAGGCTACCTTTTCCTGGAAATCTTTTATAAGAGGCCTATTTTGGAAAAATTCCTGTTGCTCTCGGACAGGCAGGGGGACACATCCACTGCTCTCACGTCCCGCTGGCTGCATGGCCACACTCTGGCCCCCGACCCCCTCACTCCCCTGAATGAGCTGGCTCCCTTGCTGGCCCTGCTGGATGCTGCCCTTCTGCAAACCAGTGGTGGCTGCTACAGCAAAAATTCAACCTGGGCAACGTGCCCTGAACAGCTCGGGGACAGCCTGGGGTGGATTCGGTATTTCTCCTTGCTGGCTTAAAAAAAAACAATAAGAAGAGAGAGCTACACTGAAAAAGACACCCCACCCCAGGTATGCAATTAGTCCCCCTCATTGAGGACCTGAGGTGTCAGCCAAGCAAATGGGCTCTGCTCTGCCCATAGCAGCTGCGTGCAGCCCCCAAAAGGGACTGGGCAACCCTGAAACCAGGACAGCAGCCCCAGGGATGGCTGTTGGCCTTTGCTAGCCCAGACCTGATCCCAGCTAACATGACTTGCTGTGGATTCAGACAACGCTCCTTGAATTCTTCATCACACAAAGTTTACCCGGCAGGGGCTGACCCACCTACCTGGCTTTTCATGCCATGCTAACGTACTTTGCCATCATCACGCTTCATAGTGTCATGCCCAAGGACCACAGCTGGACCCTGGTCTGTGAAGGGAGGCAGAGCTGGTGGCTCCACTGAGGGCTGAGCATCCAAATAGGGCTCTGCAAAGCCAGCAGGCTCTTGTGCCAGTGCAGCAGGGCGATAGCTGAGAGATCTCACTCCACAGCAGCCTCTCATTTAGACGCTTAAAATGTTAATTAGCTCCTCAAGGAAAAAAATAGAAAAGTTTTCTCCATGCCCTGTGAGCTGGCTTGCTGGAACAGCCTGCTGAGCAGCCATGGCCCACAGTGGGAGGAGGATGAGCTGCAGCCCTGGGTGCACTCTGCGTGATGGCAGAGCAGGGCTAAGATGGGACTGAGTGCCGGTGGGGCACCAAGCGTGCCACCAAACCCCCACCCAGGCAGCACCACCAGAGGTGGCAGCGAACCCAGGGCTACTGGCACCTTGGATGAGACAGGGTGAAGTGAGAGACACTGACAACGTCAGGCTGCCCCTCTGTGCCCAAAAGCCCTGAAATGTACAGGGGTTGCTATTCTTTTTTGGACTAAAAATGTCATAACTGCGCCTTTCTGAAGAAAGCCGTTCTTATGCACTTGGTGGCACGTGGTCATCCAGCTAGAATGACACCAGAATGACTCTCATCCTCCCATTTACATCCCCTCTTCATGAACCTGGACCAGTTGGAAACTGGCCAGGCTGGGGCTGAAGGACCGGAGAGGACTGGTGGGAGTGGACGGAGGATGGAGGGCAGCTCCTGTGGGAGCAGAATGGAGGAGGACACCAAGCTCCTCACACCAGCCCTGCTGCCGCCTGCTCAGACGCTGCCCAGCTCATCCAGGTTGCTGCTGCTTGTAGCTGTACAATATCACAGCTGAAACCCATTTACCTTTTAAGTCCCAACATCTAATAATAGCCCCAGAGCCTTTTTCTTTCCTCCTCCCAAAAAAAGCCAAGTGGGATAGATCCCTGTTCATCTCAAAAAGTTCTCATCTACTATCAGGACCCAGTGTTTGGGCAGCTGGGAGCTGTGCTGGGAAACCTGGAAAGGCAGGAGAAAGAGCAGGAAAAATCAGCACATAGACAGTCCCCAGAAAAAAAGCTGAGCCTGCTGGGACTGGGTCAGAAATGAATTTCTCCCCACAGGCTCCAAAAAGTGCCTGCGGTGGGGCAGGAGGAAGGCTGAGTCCTGCAGGAGAAGGGCTAGGGGACGTCAGGACGGTGTGAGACGGCAGCTGGAAAAGGAGCAGAGCAAAATACAGGCACATGTGCCTGCAGGTGACAAACGCCATCACTGCAGATGGCAATAGCCCCCCACTTCTCCTAAGCCAGGACCACGGCGTGCCCGTCCAAACACCCGTCCCATCCCCAGGCTGCCCTTCACGGCTTCGGCAGTGCCTGAGCAGCCCCATCGCCGCTGCCACTGCCCCATCCCTGCTGCAGCACTTGGGCTGGCTGGGGCTTTCCATGGACTCATGGTCCTCACTGCTACCCCATGGCTGCTCCCTGGGCCTCAGCCTCCCTGGTCAAAAGTCCTTGCTGTGCCACAGAAAGGAAAAACTGCTTTATCTAAGACCAGAGCAGCTCGTCCATGTGCCCCAGAAGCCTGTTCTTCTTTGGGGGGCGAAACCCAAACAAGTGAGAATCTGGCTGTGCTACTATTTTGCCCTTTGCTAGTTCCCCTTACATGGATGAACATGACATTTCCAGATCAGTTTTGTCCACTTCGAACCCTCCCACTGGGCCCTGTCCTAATTTTGTCCCACCACAACGCAAGCACCCGGCAGCAGCCCAGAGCTGTTGGGGTTTCAGGGTCGGGAAGCCCAGTGGCACCCGGCAATGACCAAGTGGCAACCTCCCCTTCCTGACCCACACCACAGCAAGCCTCCTCTGGAGGAGGAGGAAAAAAAGAGCCTTTGCACAGGAAATCTCTCATTTGCAGCTGGGTCGGGTCCAGACCACAATTCCCTGGATTTGGCCACGGGCACACAGCATGGCCAGCACGGCAGCCCTGCCTTGGGGCCCCACATGATCCTCAGCTCAATTGTATCCCTGAATTGTGCCCTACCAGTCAAATAAGGAAACACAGATAACGAGCCACTTGATAACGACTGACCAGCACGATAACCCATAAGCAGGGACGGAAAGGCATGGTTACTGCTAGCGGCGTTCCCCCTTCCTACAGCCCGAGCCGGGCGCTAAGGGCGGTATATTTTAATAACATCTTTGATGACCCGTCGGCAGATTGGGCAGCAGGCATTGAGCTGCTTCTTCAGCTTAAGACCGCAGGTGTTGCAGAGGCACATGTGTCCGCAGGTGTAGATCACCGTGTCCACCTCGCTGTCAAAGCAGACAGTGCATTCCCCGTTCTTGCTGCTTGATGGCTCCGGAGGGGGGAAGACGGGAGAGATGGGGGGACTCAGGGGGGAGCTGGGAGCAGTCACTGCAAAAGAGGAGGAAGGAATGAGACCATTTAATCACCAGGACCACGGAATCACAGAATTGTCAGGGTTGGAAGGGACCTCTAGAGATCATCTAGTCCAACTCCCCTGCCAAAGCAGGGTCGTCCAGAGCACATCACTCAGGATGGCATTCAGGAGGGTCTTGAAAATCTCCAGAGAAGGGGACTCCACGACCTCCCTGGGCAGCCTGTTCCAGGGCTCTGGCACCCTCACCATAAAGAAGTATTTGAATGGAACTTCCCATGTTCCAGCTTGTGCCCGTTGCCTCTCGTCCTATCGCTGGAAACCACTGAAAAGAGTCTGGCTCCATCATCCTTCAACCCACCCTTTAGGTACTTGTAATCAGAGATAAGGTCTCCCTTCAGCTTTCTCTTCTCCAGGCTAAAGAGCCCCAGCTCTTTGAGCCTTTTCTTGTAAGGGAGATGCTCCAATCCCTTAATCATCTTAGTTGCCCTACGTTGGACTCTCTCCAGTAGTTCCTGTACAACACACACACCCCCAAGTCAATTATTAAGGCTCTTCCTTCGTCATTGTCTATAAGACCCCCAGACATGACACTGCACCCCCTGCTACCACAGCACTGCTGCCACAGCACAGGCAGCCCCTCAGGGACTACTTCCATTAGACTGACTAAGTGGGAAGCAACACACAACCCTTCTTCAGGCCATGGAAAAGCTTCCCATCGTTTTGTGTCCTCTCCCTGTTATTTCTGATGGCCTCACAGGGGGTGTCACATCTCCCCCATAACCTTGCCCAGCACCACCTATCAGCCCTCATTCCCGTCTCGGCGTGGCGGGCAGAGCCGGGTGCCGAGGGCTGGGCTCTCCTTACCCAGCGATGACTCTGAAGCAGACGATGACCTGTTGACGCTGAAGGCCATGTCCGAGTCGCTGTCGTACTGCGAGCCGCCGGGGGATCCTGAGGGAGAGACGGTTACTGGGCTGGACTGCACAGTGCCTGCGAAGACAGGAGAGAGCTCAGCCCGCTGCAGATGGACACCCAAACCCTGGCTAAACACCCCTCAGCCCCACAAGTCGCTCCCAACCCACATGTGCAGGGTGCTGTAGGGTCAAGTCCAGCTGCTGAGTTAAGTATTGACCCTTCGTAATGATATGGGTGTAGGATTTTGGAAGTGATGGATGGCCTGGACCTCGCTATGCCATTGTACAATTTCTGGTCAGTGCTTCAGCGAGGCAAGCACCAGGTTATCTGACAGCCATCATCTGGGGTGCAAAGTCACTTCCCCAAAGTCCCAACCTCTCCAGCAGCAGTGGCCTCAAGCTATCACTGTCTCGCTGTCAGGTCAGGGGCAGGTGGGAGGAGGCACTGCTTTAAATGAGAAAAACCTGCTTTGCAAAGTCATCAACATCTGCTTTTCTGACAGAATCCTCAACAGGAGGAAAGGAGAAGAGCTGTAACTGGTCACCAGCAATAGACCAAAAGTGACATCTGATACAGGAGCTGTGGCAATGTTTGGGGAGCGATGACTGCTCATCAGCAACACATGTGCTTAAACCAGAGCTGTGCTCACACAAGCCATCGCCCTCTCCAAGGCAGGAGTTTAATATCTTTGGCTAGAACAAAGGGTTTATAAAGAATCCCTTTGAAAAACAACTCCTCTGCAAACCAGCTGCCCCCCACACAGCCATCCCTGCCTCCCTACCTGTGCTGATTTTCTCTCCCAAGTCTCATCCCTTTCTGGGGGACTTATATAGGCTGCATACATCTATGTGACAGCCACCATGTCTCACTCACTCTTGTTTGCAAACACAAGGTGAGATCAGGAGCTGCTTCCTCACGGCGGTGACCACCTGCTAAAGGCAACGCTGAGAATGCCAACCCGCAGCAGGAATCTTCACCAGCCACGTGCTCCCCACCACAGTTTCTTGTAGCTGCACTTACCCAGTATTTTGAGCTGGTTGATTACACCGTGGATCGTAAAAAACACCCAGAGAGACTGTGAGGTGTCCACGCACATTAGCATTCCTCGGCTTGTTCCATTCACCCCGTGGTGCACCTCTCCGTTCGGCAAGACCATGAAATTGAGAATGTCACCGTTGTTGAGGACCGGGAACGCTCGGTACACCACCCAGTACTCCTTGCGGTCCAAGAGAAAGTCCGGATCTGCTGGGAGCTCATTTGTCCGTAAAGTACTCGGATCACAAGAAGTGATGCCAAATGAAAGGGCCCCATAGTATGGCAACCCAAGATGTCCTACTTCCACAAAGAGGCTTTCACCGATGTGCAAAGGCCGGTCAGAAAACACCAAAGTCCTATTGCTTTCTTGCCAGTTGGTGCACGCAACCATCCGGTCCTGAGAAAAGGTGATGTCAGGTCCCCGGGTTGGGTGGAATCGCAGGTCTGTATCCAGGAAGGCTGGGACCCCCTGGGCACGCTGGCGTCGGTTTGGGCAACAGGGGATGATGTGGTTGTCTGTCCCAAGGCCTGGAACCCGACTTAGGTTTAGGTTTGCAATTTTGGCCACCACTTGGTTATTCTCCAGTTCGTTGTTATTGAAGTTGGCTGAATCGTGGTTGCTCTGGGGAAGGCAAGTGCTGAGACGGGCCGTGCTGAGACGGGCAGTGGTCATGGTCTCTGCAAACATGCTATCTGTGAGATAAACCCAGTGATAAGGGACATTAGAGTCAAGATACAATTGCCTACTTTTATGGTTACAATTGTTATTATTTCCGCCTACCAATTATCTGAATTCTGTTCCTCTGAATGGAAAAACAATGAAAAAATTAGCCAGAGGTCAACCACTAATGAAAGGCTAGCGGTGGCGAGTCTCATGAGGAGCAGGTGGAGAAATGGCTGCATCCTGGCACTAGCTGAGGAAAAACAAGTGTTATGACGTACCCATGTAATCTGGGAGCTCCTTGCACTGGTGAACTGGGAAAAGCTGCAAACCAGTGTGGTCCTACAGCTTTCTCAGTATAGGGGACTAACAGCTTTGAGGGTGCTCCATAAAAGAAGGAAATGTCTCAATATCTTGCTGTCCAAAGGTCTTGTGCGAGCCAAATCTGCAACACTGCGATGGGCAAAGGAGCCCAAGCATGAATAGATACTCTTTTTAAAGTCCTTGTCATTGCCTTACAGCTGTGAGGTGTCTGGGCACAGATGTGTCCAAGAGAGGTCATTTTACAGGAAGATTTCAAGCCTCATATCTCAGGGGTGTTCACACCACTGCAGAGATTCTGAATTGGGAGTTTGTCACAAAAGCTACTTGCTGCAGGTGTTACAAAGAAGGTTTTTACAGTTAGAGAGCTATTTTCCCCTTTCACAGCAAAGGGAAGGTCAGGATGCTGGCTCTTAATTCATTTCCCAGATTTTCACCTCCGCCATGCCAGACCAAGGAGGGATTCAAAAGTGTGGGGACGTTCAAGAGTGCCCTTCTTTCTACCTCCAGCACTGCCTGGGGCCGCTTGGACATGGCATTAACCACCAAGGCATTAACCAGTTGAGCAAAGACGAAGCACATGGAAGTTCAGCATGTGTGTGAATGAAACAGACTCCTGGTCTTCTCAAAGATGGAGAGGGGAGAAGCACCCCAGCACCAACACTGCCTGCTCCTTGGAGGAGAAAATCACCGGGCTTTTACTAAAGAAAGAAACCCAAATCCATCTGCATATTGCAAAGCAGAGGCTGTCATGGCTCAGAAGTCCATGCAGGAGAGGCCACCGGTGCAGGCTGATGGCTGAACCAGCTACTTTTAGTAAGCACAGGGCATCTGGCAAGAAACGCTCCCACAGAGGAGTAAGACCCATCCAAGCTTCATGATGCTGACAGATGCATTTTGTGCCTCTGCATTTGGGCTGTATTTCACAGCTTTCTTGACTTGCAAAATTTTGGGAGGAAGAAATGGAGAGACAAACATGTCCACTTTGTGATATCACTACATCTGTAGCAAGGAGGCTGTGTCCCCTGGTGCTCCATATGGCTGAGCATCGCCCAGATTCTTGGGGCAGTTTGTGGGGCTCAGTACTCTGACCCCCCCCAAAAATTATCAAGAGTACAGGTGTCCTCAGGCTAAGCTTATCACTCTGCACACTGCAGGACTGGGGTGTGAGGTAGAAATAAGCTGTGTTTTATTTTTCTAGCTATAATCTAATGAGGAAGGAGGACTGTTCTGGTGAAGCAAACATGCCTTCACCTCTATGAGGTGAACTCCACAGGCTGGAGTCCACCACAATTGCAATTACAGGATAAGTGTGTCCTCAGGCCAAGCCTATCACTCTGCACACTGCAGGACTGGGGTGTGAGGGCAGAAATAAGCTGTGTTTTATTTTTCTAGCTATAATCTAATGAGGAAGGAGGACTGTTCTGGTGAAGCAAACATGCCTTCACCTCTATGAGGTGAACTCCACAGGCTGGAGTCCACCACAATTGCAATTACAGGATAAGCTACTGGTAAGGTTTAATTACACATTTGAGGCAGAGCAGGCAGGGCAAAGTGTTGTTTATGTGTAACGTTCTGGGCTGTAAAATAATTGGTACCATTCAGAAGAATATGTGATGGAGCTGCCTGCCCACTGGACTAAAAATTTCACAGCTTATCGCTGGTGTCTATGCGGAGTGAGGATGGAGACACCATCCCCTTGAGCAGGTGCTGTTAAAACTAAATCAGCAACTAGGAGCCGTGAGGAGTGAGGATGGAGGCACCATCCCCTTGAGGATGGAGGCACCCTCCCCTTGAGCAGGTGCAGCTTAGCTTGGCTGTTAAAACTAAATCAGCAACTAGGAGCCTCCAGGAAAGGGCAACACTCTTGTATTTTAAAAAGATTCCCTGTGGTGTACACCAATTCAAAACACTCCGTCTTAACACCGAATTCATTTGAAATTTCAGTGCTGTAAAAGTCATGAAAGGGAAGTCATTCCACAGCAATCAGCTCGGTTTGCTAATGGGAACGGATTCATCCCCTCTTGCATCCCTCCCCAAGGATGATGCTTGTAAATCAGCCAGGCACCCCTAAATGCAGAGATCTGCTCAGAGGTGAGGGGAGATGTCACTAATGGGAACGAATTCATCCCCTCTTGCATCCCCCCTCAAGGATGATGCTCATAAATCAGCCAGGCACCCTGTGAATACAGAGATCTGCTCAGAGGTGAGGGGAGATGCAGCATGGGGTGACAAGGATGCTGAGCACACAGGAGCTGTAACTGGTAGCTGGGAAAGAACAGGGGAAGCCAGAACTGGTCACCTTTGTCTCCCCAGCCTCTGGGACCTTGCTGTAAAGCAGCACCATCTTTTTTTCTCCAGGCCCTAGCAACACGCCTAGCTCAGAAAAAGCTGGGAAAAGTTACATCTGGTAGCTGGGAAAGAACAGGGGAAGCCAGAACTGGTCACCTTTGTCTCCCCAGCCTCTGGGACCTTGCTGTAAAGCAGCACCATCTTTTTTTCTCCAGGCCCTAGCAACACGCCTAGCTCAGAAAAAGCTGGGAAAAGTTACATGTAAAGATTTCCACTTGTGCCTTCCCATGGCTGCTATAATGCACAGCCTTTCTATCACTGACATCTCTGAAATACATTGCTTTCTGGATCCCCACTGCTGGCAAAAGAAAAATGGTTAATTTGAGTACAAAACCAATAGTAATTTAGTCTTCCTAGTGTCCCATAGAAATGATAAAACAGATAGATCATGCATCTTTCCTATGTGACCATGCCTCTCTGGAAAGAGCAACCAGAAGGGCAAACCATGGGCTAAAACACACACTTACCTAGTATTTGCACTTCATGGGTAATTCCATAGACATCTATGAGTGCCCAGAGAGGACCGGAAACTTTAATACCACAGTGAAACAATATTGGCTCCTCGTCATTAATACTGTAGAAGACTCTCCCGTGACGGTCAACCCAGAAGGCCAAGATATTGTCTCTCACAGCAAACCTCTCTGGCAAAGCTTTGGCCCAGTATCCAGGTCGGGTGACTAGGTCCGGACAGGCGTACTTTGGTATCTCATCGGAGCTCATCTGCGATGGGTCATGAATGGTGAAGCCGAAGCGAAGGGCCCCGCTCCAGCCGTGGTGCACAGCCACCAGCTTCAGCCTGACCTTCTCGTAGAGGTGGATGGGCCGGTTGGTGAAGGTGACGCCGTTGCAGAAACTGTTCCTCCGCGTGGCCTTGCGGGAGTGAGCGTCCAGACGCACGTTCTTGCCTTTGGCTTGGGAGTGGAACCGCGGCGGCTCCGTGATAGCGAGGACCGAGCGTCTCTCATGGCTGCTGTTGGGCAAACTGTAATAGGGACGGCTGGAGACGGAGCGGGTCTGGTGGCTTGTGTCTGCAAAAGGAGAAACCAGAAGCTCCATCAGCCGTGTTTGACCTGAGCCAGGTGTTAGCTCAACCCCAGGCAACTCAGCTGCTGGCCACACATGCTTTGCGTTACTCGCTAGGAGCCACTATTTAATCTTAAAATGCTGCTCCCGGCCACAACCTGCTCTTTGTTGCACCAATTTGGCGCTCAGCTTTATGCAAGTAAAAAGCAAATGAGGCTCTTGGGGTGAAGGTTAGGCAGCTTCCCTTCTACGCCCTGCAAAGCTGGATGGAAACGAACATCCTTTTGTTCCCATCAGATGCATCCTATTGCAATCGGAAAGGCCTAACACTTGTGACTGTGGCTCCCAGTTTCCTATTTACAATGCCTGTGCTGCTAGATCACCAGCTGGTGGCCAGAGTCACACCAGCTCTGAGAATCGTGGCTGTTAAGATCAAAGGTGCTCAAGATGAACACAGATGTAGGATACTGATTTTGGGAGGACGTGGCTTCTCTGTCCCTTAATTTTGTAAGGATGAACAGGAGCTTTTGAACAACACAAATAAACGGAGACATTTAGCAGCTGGAGCACTATCTCTGCATCACCAGCCTGTTCCTCCAAAACTTTGGGCCCAGCCCCTGGTTCAGATATCAGATGCAACTGGCACATTAAGGAACATTTCATCCCGCAAAGCCTCGCCTTTACACAGAACCTCCCATTTGAGCTCAAAGCACTTTATAAACGATGATTGTTTTCAGCTTCACAGCACCACAGATGGCACAGAAATCCTGCCATCCTCGTTTTACAGATGGGAGAAGGAGAATTTATGGGTGAGATCTTGCAGCATTTAAAGTCAATAGCAATTTCAAGACCAATTTCAAGAAAAGCAGATTTGAGGCCTAAAGTGAAGTTCAGACAAGCGTGAAGCAGAAATGAAAAAAGCCCAACTTTTAATCTTAAGCCATAGTTACAATTTCCCTGAGGTGGAAACAATCTCTTTTGCATATCCTTGAACACATGGGGTCCTGCTCTGGCACCAGGGCTCCCATAACCACCACCCACCATCGTGGTGTTACGCGCACTTCAGTCTCCCCACTGCCCACCCACCCCACCTCTCCTCCTCTTTACACCTGGCTTTGTGGATTTTTGAAGCGAAAATGGAAGGCGTCCTGGGTGCTCAAAGTCACCCTGTTAAATATAAAACCACGTCACGTGCATACGTTTCTTTTGAAATATTTTGCCCCGTTTGAAGCTTTAGAAGCTGCCTGCCCGGCCCTTCCTTCAAGCTGCTTCCTCCCTGTCTGTAACCCCTGGCTTTGCTTTGTGACAAGGGAAGGATTTTCTGGCTCTTTCCTCTCCTGGAAGGAAACGCCAGAAGATGCCTGGAGCTGAGCTGGGGAAGCTGGGCAGGAAAGCCTCAGCTGCAAGCAGCTTTTTTTGCAAACACAACCCTACCCTGCAGGGCAGTGAGAGGGCTGGGGCTTGCATTTGTGCCTGAACTAACAGAGGCTCTAAGCAACCGCTGCCTCTGTGCAGGGAAGAGAAGTCGCAGGCGAGATCTGAACACAGGAGCAGCCCTTGAAATCGGGCATCGGCAACGGGAGTCAAAAAGCCCCCAAGGCAAAAAGCTCCTGTTTGCATCAAGAAAAAAAAAAAAGGTCAGTCCTAAATTATGACAGGCAAATGCAGGGGATGAATAAAAGGTCTTTTGTATCTCTTCATTTGTACTGCACGTGACAATCACTGCGCAGCACAAGGTAATGGTTAATCCTGTGGTGCACATATGTAAATACATACACATCCTTGTCCTCACACCAGTGGGGGGCTTCCCACTTCCATGCCAGAGCCATGAGGGCACAGTCCTGGGGGAGGCGGGGAGGAGAGAAGCCCCCCCAGGTGTTAAATCCCCTCAGCAAAGCATCTCTGTGGGCCAGGCTTCCCCCCCGGCTCTCCCAGGGCAGGAGGGGGTTCCCGGAGTCAGCCCCAGCCACACTCACAAGAGGAATGGGTATTTTTGCTGGGTATTCCCAGGAGAAATCTCATTTCTTTGCCTCCCAAAGAGCTAAAATGCAGAAGATGGCTGCTTTCAGCACAGACCCACCCGCTGCTCGTGTGGGGGCTGCTCCATGTGTCTGCCTGCAAATGTTCCCGACGAAAATGCTGCTGCTGCTGCAGAGGAAACACGGGTTGGGGTTTCCTTAGCAAAGAGTGCTCCCCGGCAATGAGGGGTGAATCCCACGCTTTCCCACACCAGCTCCCCATTTTTCATGGGGATCCACAGAGCCTTCATGCCCTTCAGCTGGGGAGGGGGGTTAAGCAGAGCCACCATACGGTGCGGCCGGGGCAGCCTCCCAGGGGTCCTGCAGGACCTGGTGGGCTCAGTGCTGCTCCTTCTCATCACACCTCGCCTTGCTGGGGGCAACAGCTCCCTGGGCAGAGAAACCCCCCCACACTTCATAATCCATTGAGCTGCCTTGTTTTCTAAAACGGTTAAAAATACCTCCCCTGTGAAAGCGAGTCCCCTGGCCTCAGTGTCCCTGTGTTGGCCAGGAGGATGGAGGGAAGAGAATCATAGAATGGTTAGAGTTGGAAGGGACCTTAAAAATCATCAAGTTCCAACCCCACTGCCATGGGCAGGGACACCTCCCACCAGACCAGGTTGCTCAAAGCCCCATCCAGCCTGGCCTTGAACACCTCCAGGGATGGGGCAGCCACAGCTTCTCTGGGCAACCTGTTCCAGTGTCTCGCCACCCTCACAGTAAGGAATTTCTTTCTGGTATCTCATCTAAATCTCCCCTGTCACAAGAATGCCCCACTCCCACCCCCTGCGTGGCACCAGCCTTCCTCCCACACCGACCTGCTGGAGAAAAGACACGTGTGTAGACACGATGCCCTCCAGCACTGCTCCCAGCAGGTACCTCTCACGCCGCTTTCGGAAAGCAGGGAGGACCGAGGCGGGAGTCGACGGCGACAGCAGCACAACGGAGGGAAGAGCCATGACATGGGCACCCACTTCAAAGGCAGCTTTGGGTCCACCCTGCCGGAGGGGAACTCGGGGCCAGGGTTTGGTGCTTTTTGTTTTGTTTTGGTTTATTATTATTTTTTTTAAAAAACAGGAAAGCGTATTGTCGCTAAACAATAGGAAAATCTCCCGAAGGAAATGAAGGGATAATTTATTTATAACGCCGTTCCCCCCTCACATGAACACCTGCCGGCTGCCACCAGGAATAAAGCCTGACATAACCCACGGCAGGGGAGGCAGAGCTTTCCCACCGAAACACGCCTGAAGCTGCGCTTGGGCATGTCCTTTACTCATTATGCAGTGACGGGGACCAGGCAAGCTCAACAGGATGTTTGTGCCTCTGAATTGCCCTAATTTGCGGCTTGGCTTCCACGCTTCGGATCACATTTCAGTCCCTCTGCTATTTCTCCAAAGCCTCTGCTCTCCTGGCTGTGCTTTCCCACCTGAAAGCCCATCAGTGGGGTAATGACAGCCAAGCTCGTGGCAAATGCCACCCTACCTAAGGGTGCCCGATGCCGTGACGGGCAGCTCAGAGCTACGCCAACTCTTTTTTTCAGCTATGAGATTCCTACAACGCTTTGACAAAGCAAGCCATTTCTTCTCTTTGCCTCACTTCTGTGCCTAGGAGAGAGTAATAGTACTCCTCCTATTAGCAGGAAGCTAAAAGGATTAAAAAAATGTAAGGTTCTCAAATACTTCAGTCCCTGAGCCTTGGTAAGCATGTCAGTGGGCTGGCTAGATGACCAAATGGGACATGAACTCACTGTGTCCCCCTGGCTCATGTCCTGAGGTCCCGTCCAGCATTTTGCTTCTTTTCATTCCAGAGTTTTCAATTTTCCATCCCTACTCTCACCAACCACAAGCATGATGCTCACAGCATGAGTCCCTCAAACGCACGAGTAGGGCTTCAGCAAATGCGAACTAAGCCAGGAAAATGGATGAAAAAGCTGAATTGAAGATTAAGAATGGGGTAGGGCTCCTCACTGAAACCTGCAAAAGAAACCCTGGCTGGAAGGCAGCATTTTTCATCCACACAGGCTGCCCTGAAATAGATTTGGGTTATGGGGACCCATGCTCTCAACTGCAAGTCACTGTCACATATCTGAAACTTCACCTGCTTTCCGAAAGGGCAGTGCATTTATTTCTTAGGTTATGCTGACCTTTGGAGAGGTATTTTAATAAACGTGCACTTTGCATTTCAAAGAGGTAGAGCAGGCAGACCCTGGACAAAATCCACATATTTATCATGGTTCCAGTTCTAAAAATAAACATTTTTTTCACCCATTTTTCCACAGCATCAGGTTTGCTGTGGCACTGTAATCCCACAGACAGCAGGAGACAAAATTCAGAACCAGAGCCCTCTCCAAGGCTGCTGCTCCCTGGGGCACGGGATGGAGGAGCTACTCAGCTGGGGAGACAATCTTAAACCTGGTTGATCCTGACTTTGCTTGCCCAGACAAGCCAGGGAGGAATAATGCCATGGAGAGCCCTAAAATGATGGAGAGGAGAATACGTTCAAGGAAACCAATGCTACAGCAGAGAGCTAGGATGAGGGCAGCCTGACAGGAGGAGGAGGAGGAGGAGGAGGAAGGAGGGCACTGCCTTCCCCATATGTCATGGGTATATCCGCAGACTGTATTAACTCTACAATCGCTGTATCCAAAAACATCCCCTGGATCCCCCAGCCCTTTCCCAAGGGCCCCCTCCAAGTAAATCCATGACAAAAGGTGTGCAGGACCACAAGGCAGGCAAATTACGGGGCACAGACAGGTGCCAAACAGGGGTGCACAGTGGATAAAGCAAGGACATCACTAGAAGAGAAGTTCCTGGGTCTGCTACCCCGTGGGTGAACAGCTCGTGGGAGACAGAGCTCATCACCCAGGCTGGTCAGAGAAGAGGCTGAAAGGCAGCAGCGAGCAGCCTGAAATCTACCCATTAGCGTTCCCTGCACGGGCGAAAGGGAATCCACCCCACATGCCTGAGCCTTATCTTTATGGCTGCTGC